TCTGCTCTGCTCCCGGAGGAGCCGGCGCTCTGAGCCCTCCCCGTGGGCGGCGCAGAGGAACGCTGGGCCCTTCTCGCTTCGCAGGGCCTTGGGGGGCCAAGCGCTCGCGTGTGTCAAACAGATTTTCTATAAATGGTTTCTAGTTATGAAATGAGGAACTTGGAAGCGACTTCCTCGGGGTCGATATCCTTCCATGTTAGAGTAATTAAAGAGCCTGTTTGATCCCCCTTAATCCTGTAGGCACGGTGCATGCTAAAGCAGCTGGGGCACCGTGCACAAAGGCTGTAGTTTGGTTCCTGGAGCAGGTGGTGGTTCTCCCCCTCCTTACAGCCCTGCCGGCAGGATGGCGAAGGCTCCCCTGGCTCCATAGGCTCTTTGCAACAAGTCTGAAAGTTGTAACTTCCTTTCCTTCAGACAAGAAGAACTCCCAGTCACACTAAGCAGCTCAATTGCTGCATTGAGGGTTTCATGTCTAGTCCAGAGCGCTTTGTTGCTCTGGTTTTCCAAATGTTCTTCCACTGTGGGTATTCTTGCCCCGTAACTGCTGAGCAGAGATGGTTTTGTTGTGTTCCAGCACTGGGACAAGGGGCGATGTGTACGGATGGGTCATGCTCTCAGTGGTGTCCAAGGTCCCTGTACAATCGGTGGCTGCAGACAGGCTGCAGACCGTTTACCCACGCAGCTTGTTTGCATCGTGGGTGTGGGACTGCAAGAGTTTTTTAAACTTCTGAAGTTGTGAGCATGTGGAACCTTCTGCTCATGCCTTTGGTTTTGCTCTTGACGGTTAACGCCTTGTAGGTGAACTGCAGTCCAGGGTTATGATACAAGCCGAAAAAAAAAAAAAATTACATTTCCAAACAGCCGAATCCCTGAAAGGCAGCAGACTGTTTCTGGAATGCTTCATCCCCAGAGCTGTGAGCCAGTGGGGGGATCAGGCGAGTGAGAGTTCTCAGATGCTATTACAAAGCGGGTGGTGCAGTGGCACCCAAATTCCCGGCGGTGTCAGAGGGCAGTGCTGTCAACAAAGTTCCTCCTTTGCTGCTGATATGTCCTGTCTCCCTCCCCTGCCACTGCCCTGGGAACCATCCGAGCCCACTTTAGTTCTGATCCAGCCTCTCAAGCTGCCGTTGTGCATGTGGAGTAGCAGCGCAGCCTGAGCCAGTTCTGGCTTCCTGTCTTCGCAGTGTAGCAGCATTTGTAGCTGCATAGTGAGCCGGAGCAGTGAACTGATCTGGCTGAAAAATAGCCCTGCAGAAATCCTTATTAACTGGATCAAATTCCGAGTTTGCTGTGTGGGTGCACAAGCTTTCCCTTGCGCCCCGGGGGAAGAAGGAAGGGTGGAGACTGCTCGAATTGGCACTGCTGCGTGTCCACGGCTGCACTGTGTCCTAACGGACATCCGAAGCCAATTAGCTCATCTGAAGAGACTCTGACTAACCCTGGTTTCACTGGTGCCGTGGGATGTTGATCCTGGGGTAGGAAGAAGTTGCTGTTTACCACTGTCTGCCTGAAAACAAACTGGGTTATGTTCCTAGCAGTTTTTCTGTCTGGCAGAAGGTGGGGCTCTTGCATTCATTGCTGCGAGCCTCTCGGTCCTGCTTGAAAAATGCTGAGAATCCAGGAGAAGCTCTGACTTGAGGAAGCAGCGAAGGCAGCTTAGTGCAAATTCCCAGGCGGGAAGTGATTCAGCCTGCTGCTGTCTTCTTCAGGCTTCTTTGATCAGCAAGGATCTGAGAAGCCTCCAGGCCTGTTTCCCTGGATGTGTCTGCATGGCCAAGGAGCCCTCTCCTGTAATTTGCTTGCAGGCTGGGAGTCTCCTTCTCTGCTGGCCGTGGCAGAGTCCACAGTGAGTCTGTGCCGTTTTGCAGGGCAGCCAGCCTCCCAGGAGCTGCGGAGGCACCAGCTCAAGTGTTCTGTGGCTGAGTCTTAAGAACCAGAGGACTGCCATGCAGAGGTGCTGAGCAGGGCACCCGAGCATCTCCTGAGAGTCAAAAGGAGCTGAGAAGGAATTCCCTTCCCAACGCCTCTGAGCAATGCCTGAGGTCTGAGGTGTTAAGCTCCTGTAAAGCACCTGTGCCCGGCTGCAGGTCAGCAGCCTAGCGGGAAGGCTTTCGCTTTGAAGGACTGTGTTGCAGGTCCTCTCTCCTCTGCATGTCAGCGCGTGCTTGCTGGAGGTCTCAACACGGCACAGGTGGGATATGCGAGTGCAGTTCTCTGTCCTGGCAGTTCACATGTGACTGAGTCCCTTGGCTTCACTTTATCCAGCAGCATGATGGCTGGTCTTTCACGCACCTGGAAAGGCTCAGTCTTTCACGCACCTGGAAAGGCTCAGGTTTACTAATCCTGAGCTGTAATAAATGCTTTGTCTGAGAGGCCTGTAGGGCAAGGTTGAGGCCCTCAAAAAAGTTTCGGTGTGATTGGGAATCTCCTTCCTCTCTGGCTGCGTGTTTGGAGAAGCAGCCGAGACGCTGTGACCCATGGTGATGAGACGCAGCGCTCTGTGCGGCAGGGGCTGCGTCGCAGGGTGCCTCTCGACCCTCATGTCCAGCAAGGGCGCAGGAGCCTGCTGCTCTCAGGAATGCTACAGGCTTTGATGCAGCCTGGTCGGAGTTGTTCTTCTGACTGCTGCTCCTGGGGAAGCCTGTTGGAAGAGGTGAAGTGATATTTCTCCAGGGCTTCCTCAGAGAGCTGAACCCTGGCCTGAGCTGCAGGTGGAACAGTGCTTTGTGTTGGTCTGAAGAGCTGTCTTCTGTCTCTGGTTGCTTCCGTTGTTTTAGAGGTCCTGTGAGGACTGGGGTGGTTCTTGATAAATCCATTTGGTGGTGTGCATGATTGTTTCCTTAGCTCTGGATCACAGGATTAAGGGTAGAGGCATAGGAACACAACCAAAGAGCTGGGGATTTGGATTTTTTTTTTTTTTTGGGTTGTGGGGTCTTTTTGTTTGGGGTTTTTTTTTGGTTTTTTTTTTTGTTTGTTTGTTTGTTTGTTTGGGGGTTTTTTTGTGGGTTTTTTGGTGTGTTTTTTTTTTTCCCCATGCCCTGTATGACGTGGTTGTTGCTAAATATCTGTTTGTGAGAAGGGTTACCCCAATGGTGCTCATGAAGATTGAGTGCTGGTGATGTGTGGGAGGAAATTGTTGTGCTGTCTGTTACATCTGCAGGTTGGTTATCAGTGCCAGGATATTGGAGAATGCCATGCAGAAGGGCCAGCTGTTTGTTGTAAAGCGTAGGGGTCAGTACCAGTGGTTGCTGGGAGTTGTAAGTGCAAAGGTACAATGGGCAAAACTCCCCTATGCAGACATGCTTGTGCCACACAGTGCCAAAGCCCTTGTGATAACCCCAGAGTGTAACATCGTCTCCCCACCTTTGTCTGGTGATAAATCTTAGTCAGGCTTTAATACCCAGAAACACCAGTTGCATCCATCGCAAGTATCCTACCCCAGGACACCCCGCGAACTGTGCCAGCCTCTCTGGGGAAGCACGGCCAGCCCAGGACAAGTCAGCAGAACGTCTCTTCTCAGGATTGACAGTGGGCAAGGAGCAGGTCCCCAGCGGGGACCTGGCTGCAGGTCCGTCTCAGCACCGGCTCCACTCCTGAGAATTGCAGCAGGAGGGCTGGTCACCTCCCACTTTCCTTTTCTCTCTCCTCTGCGTACTGGCTGATGGGTCTGCTGTAGTCTTCTTTTCTGGCAGAGATGTGCAAAATTTCACTTTCTGTGTTTAATCTGTCTCCTTTGCCCTGTTCCCCAACAAAACATTCATAATATTTATGGCTAAAAAGATTAGTGGAGCCCAGGTGGCACCTCCAGTGTTCTGCTGTTACGGCCATTGCCAGGCTCGAACAAGACGTGGAGTCAGACTGGCTCCAGCATCTGCAGAACTTGCCTTGCATCACTATAAAATGTGCTCTGTAAACTGTGTGTGACTCATGTCAGCGCTGTGCTTTATCTTTCCCCCTCTGGGTGGCACATTGGGTTGAAATGGAATAATTGAACTGTGTGATACTATGTCAGCTAGCTCAAAGACGAAAAGAATGGATGATGGTTAGCTTATTTAGTGTAACCTGTATGAGAAGCTTTAGGTGCCTGTAGATCATAATTAAGCCTCTATTTACATACGTTATGTGCGTTTGTTGTATTTGTAGCAAATGTTGTAGTTCTTGATTTATTTCAAAACTAGATGCCAGAGCAGTGAATGCAGTTCCACAGTCTGTTGCGAGTTGTGTGTGCTAACACAGAGCTCCAG